CGCTCTTCCTTGACTGCAAAACACTTGATAGATTTATTGTCATGCATTTTATGCAGTTCTAAAGCTTAGAGGCAGACTCTGAGAGAAGGGTGAGTAAGAAGAATGGAAAGAAAACATGTGGTCAGAATGACACAATAGATCTATGGAAATTACTTTGAGGAGATTCATTCAACAGAAGAACTGGAATCATAGAGATGGTAGAAGAGGCTGAACATTGGGAAGTACAGAATTTTGTAGAGATTGTGTGATTAAAGTTGCAGGAAAGGAAAAATAAAGACTGAACAGCTGGAGACATGGGAAAATGTAGCAAGCAGATTACCTCACCAAATTCAAGGATGACAAAGCCATGGATAAATAAATTAAGGGAATTGTTTTGGATATAAAAGAAAAATATTAGGATTGTGGATGAAGATGCAAGGAGAGCTGTCTTATTGTGGCATATATATATACTTAGCATAGACTCCAGTCTCATTATCTTGAGATGAAGTACAGCATAAGTCAGATGGTTTTTGTCTCCAGAAGTAAAAAAGCCAAATATCAAACTCAAGACAACAAATCAAGGCAGATACAAAATTCAGGGAAATGTGCAACAACAGTAGACAGCACAAATAGTTGTGTGACTTACACAGCAAGGGACCAAAGTCTTCCAAGCAGTTTTCTTTGTTTCTTTTTAGATAAACATTGTAACAAAGAGGAGAGTTTGAGGTGGGTTTTGCAAACACTTGTGGAGACCTGGTGCTAGGCATAAGAAGCCAAATGGAAGAAGGTACAAAAGTACCTATTTAAAAATGTGAGTGAGAGTGACTGTCTGTGTTGACTGCCTGGTTGCAAGAGTAGTTTTGATAAAATGGATCAAATGGTTATGGACCATAAAGTTACAAAAAGTAGCTTGCATTTGTGCTAGGGAGTGGCAGACCAATGGTGATGTGATACCTGAAGAGGTTGTCCATCTGAGCAGGATGTTCAGCAAGTGGGTTCTACAATGCTCTTTAGTAGACATGAGGAAGAATAAAATTCATTTGTGAGTCAAAGAAGATATGACAGTAACTGAGGTGTAAAGTAAGAGCCTAGAAAATTTATTCATGTAGATGTCTAGAGAAAGTTTTTAGCTCGTGTAATGCAAAAAGCATCTTCAAGGTGTAGATGTATTCTGCCATAGGAATCTAAAAAGAGCTTCAGTTTAAAAAGTGATACAATCAACAGTGATGGGAGAAGTATTAGGTGAAGACATGAGATGTTGTTTTTCAGACAGATTAAGCATAAGTTAGTGATCTGAAAGTCAGGGTTTCATTGCTTGTTCCCAAATGCAAAGCCATCTGTCTAAAAAACTGCCTGTTTACAGTAACAGTTGAAAATTGAAATAATTGTAGATGTAGAGAATAAGTAATGCAAGTGAAATTTTAGCTATAGGGACTACAACCCTCAGGTTGACCTATGAGGGTACGATTTCTGATATTTTTCTTGTATTGATTGTATTTTTCAGAACAGTATCTTCTGAAAAAGGATAATGAAGTAATGAGACTTTTTGTTACACTTTTCATGGATTATGTATCTGCAAGTTTTTAGCTGGCAGGTTTTAAAGTACTGGTATGTAAAGGCTAAGTGAATAGAAGATAGAATTATCCCAGTCTGAGCTAGGGCAGGAGTTCAGAGGAGAGCATGTCAGTTCTCAGTGCACAACACAGCATCTTTGGACTTGGCGTTTGCATCAGATTTTGTTTGGTTTTTAAGCAGGGTTCTGTTTTTAATAAGCTGTGGATGGTTTTGTGGATTGTTGGGACAAGTGGCAACTTGGCTAGCCATCAATAGCTTTTCTCTGGGCATACTAGGTATGCATTTGAATCAGACTTCTAGAACAGATATAAGCATGTCCTCTCCACTGTGTAATGAAAACAGCATTATCCTCAGCATCTGTGTCGAGACTTCTTTATTTGGTTAGTAGGTAGGTACCTAGATTAGAGAATGGGAATGTCTTTGTCACATTCAAAGCAGCAACTTTCCATCATTTATACCTTATTTGTATATAAGCTTTGGATATAATAGGATAAACTAAAAGGTTTCCTTTAGAGACCTCTGAAAGTAGAGCATTTTAAAAGCATGTAGGTGTCTCCACCCTACTTTTTCATGAAACATTTTACCTATTCAAGCAGACTTTTAAAAACAGCTTGTTTTGATAGCAGCCTGTTCTCCTGTGGGCCTTCAGCCTTTGCTTCCTGGCAGCACCTTTGGTGCGAAAAGAGAGTGATCAATTGGGAGACTATCAGTGCCAGCATGCATAGAGTGATAAGTTAACACACCACTGGGAATTTCTAGGGCCCACCAAGATACTTCACTTCTAATGTGCTAACAAGCTCATTTTTCTACCTCTTGCCTCTTCAGTTATTTTTTTTTCTCAGAAGAGCTTAGAAGTTGAGTGCATCAGGCATAATGAAAAGCTCTGTAGGAGGGAGAAGCAATAACCCCATTTTTCCCTTTTCAGCCAAATAGAAAATTAGTTTCTGGTAATACACAAAGGCCAGTATTTTTTGTGCAAGGGGCACTGCTGTGAATCAAAGGACTCTATTAAACTGCAGAAAATTCAGCAGCTGTGAATCTCCCCCAATGAAAAAAGTGCTTTTCAACAAGTTGTGAGATACGTAGTATTATTTAGACTTCAACCATCAGTTTCATCCTCTTCCCCTTATACATAAAAACCTCTTAAAAACTGGTCTATATTACTGTGCTCTCTTAAGGCTCAATACTGTGTTTATCCCTCAACCCAAGAACTGTTACAATGGCCAATTTTTGGATTTTCTTTTGTCCCAGTGCTTTTATTATAGCTTCTCCTGCCTGAGACTTCTGCTGAGGATCAGCTCTTTCAGGATCCAGAAAGAATTTGGAACACAGTTTTTGGAGGGAAAAGTGCTTCCCAGTTTCACTATGTAACCACATAGTGGTCTAAGGAAGTACAATGAAGACCAGTTTATTCACTAGAAGTTTTTTTCAGGTAATATATTCTCTGAACATTTTTTTATGTTTTGATACACTGCAAAATCTCCGGTAAATATTGTACAGAAAATAGCAATAAAAAGGTTTCATAGGAAAAGTTCTGTAATTGTGGAACTATAGGTTTAAAATCCAAGATGAAGGGTATTGTTTCCAGCTGTAATTTGGGGCTGAGAATTTTATTGCTTAGTGTAACTGAAAATAGTATCATTATTTATTTAAAATGTTAGCAGTTGTTATTAAAAATACTCGTTATTGGTAATGCAGTTTTTATGTTTGGATTGCTAAAAAAAAAAAAAAAGTGTGCAAAGAGAATATTATTCCCATTTCACACGTGGAGAAACTGAGTCAGAAAGGTAGCTTCCTCACTGCCCCTGTCCTCCCCAAAAAGAGCAGCAGGCCTAAAATCAGACCCCATAGCCTTCAAGAAACTGCTCCTGGGTGCATTCTTCCACAGCATGCTAATTTGTTTGGGTTTGTTTAGGAAAATAAAATAGAACTATGTAAGGAGAAAGTTTTCTCACTATCTACAAATATAATATGAAAAAGAAAAGTGCACATAAGCATAAATGCCAGTAAAAATTTCTGATAATTTTATAGTTCTATAAGATAACTGAGGAAGATCTTCCTCATTCAACACATTGAGTCCAGCTAGAGGACTTCAGAAGTTGTGAGAGAAAAGGTTAACTGATTTCTCAGTTCAGGAACTATACGACATGAAGTCAGCATGGTAGTTTTTCTTGATAATTGTATGTTGCTGCCTGCTGCTCTACATTTTGACAGCCATTTCCATAGTTGCTTTCATGAACAGCAGAAATATTCTTTCTCTTTCTCGCTCTCTCTGTGCTAACAGCACAATCAGGCCTGCTGAAACAAGAATCCTGGAGAGGGTACTTCAGAAGCAACAACACTTCAAGATACCAGTCTCTTGTCAATAATATCAGAGAGGGAGAACACAGGAAAAAGGAGGAAGTACAGTATTTTGCTGTCAGTGCCCTGCCGACACCCTGTTAGCCAGTGTTGAAGGGTCCTGTGGATTCTTTGCAAATATTCTGGCTTGTTTTAACAGCATAATTTATGAGTTATTTTTCCCAATACTTACATTTCACTATATATTTATCTTAACTCCGCATGTGTGTGTGTATTCAGGGATTACAGAAGCAGTTTCTTATGGAAAAGTGCAAAATTGTTTATTTGATTAATGCTAAGGTTAATTTTCATGCTATACCTTCTATAAATTTTTTAACATTTTTATATTTCTTTGTAACCAGAGTGCAGCCAAATCAGTTACTTAAAATACAGTGTTTAGGTTGCTGTTGTTGGGGAAAAAAAACCCAGGATGTTTTGCATCAGATATGAAAGAAAGATAGTTGAACAATAAGGTTTACATTATTCATGTTTTATCTTACAGTTAATATTACTTCAGTGCATCAGATAGTATCATAGTTATGTAAAGAATTTAAAATAAGCGTGTACAGTCACTGAAATACATGGTATGTACTTCACCAAAATAAGTGAATTACAAGGCACTGATATTTACCAGTCACGGTACATTATATAAATTGATCCTTAATTCTTGGCTAAACCAGTTATGAGGAGAGAGCTCGGTATCTGCAAACAATTGTTCAACACCATCTAGAGCCTACAACTTTTGAGGATTTTGCTGCTCAGGTTTTCTGTCCAGCACCGTACCATCATTTGCCCTCAGAGACAGGTAAGAAGTACAACGAAGAACTGGTTTTATATAATCCTCTTTGAAATGCAGTATCCTTACTTATAAAAGCTAAAAATTCAGACTTTTGCACGTTGTTGAGAGTTACCATTAATTTCAAGGACTAACTGTACATATTTGAGAACCTGGCCGAAGTTGCTTTTAAATCTTTGTTCTGTTGCCTGGCATCATGAGCCATAGCCTGGCATTAAGATTTGGCTAGCTACTTTAATATAGCAACCAAACCCTGTATTTTTACAGTGAATTTTATTGCGTCCCCCTGTACGAGGTCTCCATGGAAGCACTGGTACTTCCTCATCTAAACTAGTTCAGGTAGACCCATTCTTCAATCTAAGTACACCTTCCCGATATTAAAGTTTTAAGGCTCACTACGTTTTTCAAATGTAAAGTTTTAACTTGGAAATCTGAGAGCCTTACAATCGTCAAATTTTTTCCAGGTTATTAGCTGCAAAGTTGGTTTTAAGGTCATTCTTGCTTTCCAGTAGAACATCTGTTTTATAAGAGGATTCTGCATTTTCAGTTACTAATGAGAAAATCGGTTTAAAAAAATGAGTAACTCAAGGCCTTCCTGTTCTGAAATTTCTTGAACTCCTTATGATTATTTCATTATTTTATTTCCCCTCTTTTTAGATCATTAAATATCAGTTCTGTATATCTGAAGGTAAGACAAAGTGTCCAAAAAACCCCTTTGTTCCTCTTACTTTTACTAGAGCACTAAGCTTGTAACCAAATTGTATGCAAACTTTCCTTGTTGCCCTTGTTCACACTAAAAAGAATTTCACATTGATTGAGAAATGACCACTACATCTTCTTAAAGTTTTAGTCTTTTACTAACCTCAGGTCTGCATGAAGCACTAACACTGGTTCTGGGATTAAGGTAACTAATGATAGAGACAGTTGTTGAATGAGTAACACTTTATTGTGTTGACCGTTGTTTCTCAGCATGAACAAGTAGTACTGGATGGCAGTGGTGTGTTTTGTACCCTGTACTGTCTTTCATTGATGTTGTAAGACATTCTGCAGTGATAACATAGGAGAGAAGGAGAAGAAGAATGTGTAACACTTGAAATTCCTTGTTGAGAAATCTTTATTTATTGATGAACAAACCAAAATACTTCTGTGGAAAAGCTGTAAATCTAAAGAAAACAAATTTTGTAAGAATAAATTAATTTGGCAAGTTGTTACCTCAAAATTTGTTTCTCAGTTGAAGAAATATGCAGGAATAAATTCTAAAGTTACAGAAAATTTGTGATTGATAGGACTAGAAAGAATGACTGATAGATGTTAAAACATTGGAAATCCTTCACCTGAAAGTATAAACCATAAGTAGAAATGAGGTGCAGATTCAAAGTATAATAAGTGGTGTAATTATGCTAGTACAAATAGTCCAGACCAAAGGGAAACAAACTTAAAAGTCATTTTAAACTCATTAAATCAGTGTAAAAACATAGCAGCATAACTTAATGTATGAAAACACTTGAATAGGAAGAACCTGTAACTAGAAGCATTAAAAACAATAACCAGGGATACCAGTCTATGCCACATTTCCTGCCTCTTAAGTATTCAACATCAGACACTTTTGAATGGCTAGTGTATATTCTCTGTTCTAGTGCATTGTATTTGTTCTGCCTATTCACTTTTGGAAATCTAATTTTAGTCTAAATCGTTCTGCCCTCTTCCACTAGTTAATTCTTTCTAGGTGAAGCAAAGCTGTTTCTCTGTACTAGTTTGGTGCACTGGAGAACGCTGCTCTACAGTGGCAATTCCTGTATTCCTGTAAAAATTGTCTTAGTCATACTTGCTATTCTCTAAAATGATCTGAAAAAAAATATTTTTATAAACTTGATTTCAGACTTAACCTTTCTATCAAGTGTAATCATTTCATGCAGGAGTCTCATCAATTATGATGTATTTTACATCTGCATATATGTACATTTACATACCTCAAAATGTGATGTCCTGTCCCAAGGGTCACATTTTTCTGCACGTTGGACTGCACAGTGGAACTGACCAACACATCAGCATCAGGAGCAGCCAGGAGCTTCCTAGGATGGACATACAGCATAGTATGACCAGCCTCAGAGTCAGACAACCTGTCCCCAGACCCACCTGGCTCTGAGCTTTCATTTTGGCACAGGGATGCTCTGGCAGTCCTGCTCACAGCCTGGGGGATGACCCCTCTTCTGTCCGGGGCTCCCGGGGCTCTGAAACTCAGGACTGAGTGCCTGGAGAAGCTCACACTAGAGTGTACAAATTCTGAAGCGTGAGGCGGGTATAAATCAACACTACATCTGTCTGCCAAAAAGCTGACCTGGCTTGGGGTTAGCCTGGAAACCCCTGTTTTCCAGTTCTAGCAAAGGCAGACCTGTGCACAAGGTGGCTACAGATGACCCAGGATGGACCCTGATCCCAGGGAAGAGTCCACCAGATTGACTAATAAGAACCTACATATCTCTACGATTCCAGGGTCCCTACAACAGGCAGGTTTTTTGCAAGATAGGTGAAGAGCTCTGAATTGTGCCAGGATTACACATAGGAGTGGCCTGGGAATCCATATATGCCCATCACCCAAAGTTTGTTTCAGACCAAACCTTGTGGGCTCCCTGCCAGATGTTTCCATGTCATGTGAAGATTTCTGACCAGCCTCTAAAACTACATTGCAATTTTTTTTTTTAAATAGAAAATAACTCATTTATGTCCATTTTTTTTTAAAATGAAAAATAACCAACCAGAAGAGACTAGGAAATACTTCCACATTTCAGATATTACAAATTGGATCATTTAATTGGATCATAATCTCCAATATTACAATTTCTGAATATTTTTAATTTTCATAAAATATTATATACAATTTCTTCTTCTAAAAAAGATATATAGAAACTGTGAAGCTACTGTACCAGGTTGTTGTTGTGGTGATCTGTTGGCTGGTTTCAACATACCAGTTTTTTCATTTGGGCTATGATAATAGAGCAAATAGAGAACATTCTATTCAGTAACAGGCTCTGTTTCCTCAGACTGACATATTTTATCAAAGGCTCAGCCCTCAGCAAAAGTCATTTCCTTACAGTGGTTGCTCTTCAATACAGTGTGATTGTAGCTGCTGCTGTTTTGTGTAGATACTTAGTTTGGCCTGTGAAAATAACCTGACAAGCCCAGCCTTCCCATGTTTAGGAACCTGACTAGTGTAGTAGATGTGTACATGTAAAAAAATTAAGATTTACCTGCACTTAATCACAGGATGTAATTCAGTTGCCTCTGTATTTTTCTTTGTGCTCACTCTGTTAAATATAGTACCTGCACATATATTTAAACAGAGTAACTCCTGCTATACAGCTATTGAGTAAACCACATTTCTGTGACACCAGAATAGGCTGAGAGAACTGTCAATGGTCAGCTCAATTATATTGAAGGGCTTATTGACCCCAAGATGCTGAGCTTTAGATTGTATTGATGTCTTGGGTTTGGGTTTTCTCTATCTTCTTTTTTTCCTTCCTTCATATTAAAAATAGTACCTCAGTATAATAAACCTTATAAAGAATGGGCCTCTCTGCCTCAGTCATGCTATTTTCCTTATGATAAAAGCATCAGGCTTTTTTCATCCCAACAATCATTCCTCTTATTTTCAAGTCTGTATTCAGAACAATTCTGCTGCCTCACTCCCAAAGTAGGTGGGGATTCTAGCAGACAGGCAGGGAAGCAGGGAATGCAGAGGTGTTATGCCTTTGCAGATCAGACTGGGGGTGCTTTTCCCAGTGTAAAAGGGTCTGAGCAGCACTTGTTGATGGCAGTGATTGGAAGTGAAGAAAAAACGATAGAAATGAGGCCTGTATGTCTGGCAAGGCTGGAAAGAATTTCACATTATCCCTTCTCCAGTCTAAACTCTGGAATTTGTTTGTTTTTTCATTCCAAATCTGAGCAAAACCTCAAAACTGACTGAAATTTACAAAAAAAAAATTAAAAAATATCATATTAGAACAACTGAAGCTGAAACTTCATCCACAGAACTATTGTCTATAAGTCAACCACCTGGATGACAGTAAGTTGAGGATGCTCAGCACTTTGAGGCAGTAAATTCAGTGTGGACTGCTAGAGAGCCAAACAGATCCATTTTCTACGTTTAATGAAGTGGGTCCACTGAGGGGGGCGGGGGGAGAAGTATGATTGTCCATTAAAAAGCATCCTGTGCATGCACACAAGGGGACAAAATTAATTTTTTGTCCTGATGTTTTCTAGTTTTTGAATGTTTGACTTGACATATTTTTTGTCTTGTGACAACACTTGTGTAATCCCTTACACTTTTATTTTAGGGCATAGGGCAAAGGAGGGATTCTGTAATACTGATTAACAGCCACATGATCTTGCTTTGCAGCTGCTTTTGCAGTCTTTCTGCATCCACTTCTTGCTTTCTTCCCTCATTTCCCCAGATTAGTGAGAGACTTAATTCCTTGACTCTAGCAAGGCTCTGCTGGGCAAGACAGAGAACTTGGCTGGGTTTGGACTGAAATTTGTAAGAGTGGCAAAGGGCCCAAGCTGTACAAAAATGATTGCCCTTTTCCCTGGAGGTCAGGCAGGGAGGCTGAAGTATCCTTAAAGACCACTGAAATTTACCAACATGCAGAAATGGTATTTTCCTCTGTGGTCATTCTCAGAGGTGGCACTCAGGGAAATGTTAATCCAGACAATGAGGTGTGATAAAGCTAGACATACCAAGAGTAATCTTACCAGGCAGCACCCTGGCAGGCTCTGCTCAGTGAATTTTTCACCTCTTTGAAAGTCAGAACTGATGAGCGAGATGAATTGGGACAACCTGTGTGTTACGGTAACTCTGGATTCCTCCACCTCACTTACCTCACCTTGCTTCTAACTCAGTTTCTGTGTAGTTAGGACTCTGCTTACATTTCAATAGTTAGTTCTGAGTCAAATAACCAACATACTGCTATTAGAAGATCCTAAAATTTTCAAATGGAGCATGAAAATGTCACATTTCAACTTTGTGGATCCACCTCTTTGTTCAGAAGCAATTGAAGTGCCTTTACATTATGGCCCCAAAATATCATAGCTCATCGGCTATGATATTTCTCACTTGTCAAGCCTAAGAGATGAAAAATCTGGATCACTTCCTGACTTTTTCAACCTCTTAAAAATCCTAACATGTCTATTTTGTTTATTCTATAGAACTTTCTGGTTCTAGATCAATTGTCAATAAACCACTGAAATTTACCAACATGCAGAAATGGTATTTTCCTCTGTGGTCATTCTCAGAGGTGGCACTCAGGGAAATGTTAATCCAGACAATGAGGTGTGATAAAGCTAGACATACCAAGAGTAATCTTACCAGGCAGCACCCTGGCAGGCTCTGCTCAGTGAATTTTTCACCTCTTTGAAAGTCAGAACTGATGAGCGAGATGAATTGGGACAACCTGTGTGTTACGGTAACTCTGGATTCCTCCACCTCACTTACCTCACCTTGCTTCTAACTCAGTTTCTGTGTAGTTAGGACTCTGCTTACATTTCAATAGTTAGTTCTGAGTCAAATAACCAACATACTGCTATTAGAAGATCCTAAAATTTTCAAATGGAGCATGAAAATGTCGCATTTCAACTTTGTGGATCCACCTCTTTGTTCAGAAGCAATTGAAGTGCCTTTACATTATGGCCCCAAAATATCATAGCTCATCGGCTATGATATTTCTCACTTGTCAAGCCTAAGAGATGAAAAATCTGGATCACTTCCTGACTTTTTCAACCTCTTAAAAATCCTAACATGTCTATTTTGTTTATTCTATAGAACTTTCTGGTTCTAGATCAATTGTCAATAAAGCCCTCTTATTTAACCCTATTTTTTTTTTTTTTTTTTTTTTTGTAACTAAATATTTCATTTTGTAGAATGAATATTATCTTTAGATAATAAAATAATAGAATTGTGTAGAATATTATATTTAATAACATTTTACACTGAAGATTTTAAAACTGGAAAGGGAAACAAAACCTGCAAAATTTCTATGTACCACATTTAATATCCACATGTGTGTATGTGCGTATGTATGTACCTATAGATATATATGCTTATCTAAAATCCAAAGAAATTGAGTTACTAATCAGACTGTTGATTTCTGTCAGACTTTAATATATTTTAAGTGCCATTATTCTTCACTCTTCTGGTGTGGTATGTTCAGATGTGAAAATCACTTTACATGACTTCTGTTCTTCAATAGCTCTAAGTCAGTTTCTTAAAAAAATTGGGATTGCATGTGAATCTGTGCTTCTGACTTCAGGAATTAGAAACAAGATATGACTAGAATAACACCTTAATTGAAATAATAGTTTGGGGGATAGGATTTTCTTTATCCAACCCATGATAAAATTTCATACTAAGGTTTGACACTTCAACACAGACAAACTAGCTTAAATATGATATTTTTAATTCTTTATGTGATTTCGGGAGTCTCACTAGCTATAAATGTAGCATACTTAATAACAGGAAACAGCTGGAGAGCAGAAGCCATGTATTGAGTTGCCATTTGTTTTTCCTTCTCGATTGTGTGTACATGTGTGGGTATTTAACTGTTTTCACAGACCTGAAGCGTTTCAGACAATGTTTAGGATGTATCTTGGTTGCTATGAATAAGGTTGCTGGATCTGGATAATGTTATAGAATTCTTTTCTTTCTCTCTCCCTTCCTTTTTTTCTTGTAATGCTTAGTTGGTAAGTATGACACCGGATTTCAGAGCTGTTGCTTCATTGCACATAACTAACTCATCACTCTCTTTAACCTGTAGCATGAGCAGCAATTGCATAATGAAATTCGAAATTCCTTTTTCTGTGCTCATCTGTTAATACCCTTCAATCTCTGCAGTTTGTGTCTCATGTCTCACACCTGTTATCTTTTATCTTTTCTCCCCCCCCTTTCCTCACTTCTTTCCACTCCTCCTTCCTCATCACTTCTTCATTCTCAACAAAGAAAGAAATGCTGTGATATTTCTTCTCCTTCCAAAACCTCCACTAGAAAGCATTGGCCACATCAAGGTAAAGGGCAAAGGCTTGAAACGGAAGGTCTTTCACGCTAGCTGTGAATGGTATGCTGTGCAAAACAACAACGGTTCTTTTCTGTTCTCTATCTTCCACCAGTTGCAATGCTCTAATTCCTTGTAAAATTAGAACAAGATAGAATTTCAGAAAATGAGACTGCATGTTTCCCTGCCTGCCTTTTTCTGTAAGGCACCATGAGTCAGGCATTATCATGCTTTTGCAGATTGTTTGGCAATGAAGTACCTAGTTCATGAACAGAATTACTGACACCAGCTGGGGAACAAATAACCCCCCTTTCTTCTCCCTGTCACTTCAATGGGCTGTGTCAGTTTGAAAAAGATAGAAAGTACCATGGCCATCCCTCTGGAGCAGGCAGGGGATGGACCAGGCACAGAGGACAGCCAAAAATCACAGAGGTGGATGACAATATATTTTAAATGCACTCTTAAGACTTATTACCTGATGACCTCATTTGATTTTAGAAGAGTCTCTCAAAGTACATCCTGATCAGTTTTTAATAGTTTTTGCACCCCTTATTCATGAAACATATACTGAGGGAGAAGGATCTTCAGTTCTGATTATTTTTAAAAATTACTGGTAATAGCATCATGTGGAAGAAATAATGAGTCATATTCTGGCTTACTGAAATCAGCAGGGGTTTCCCCATTGAATTCTGCAGGACTAAGCGTCTGTCCATAATTTACCCGGGTCAGAAGCAATCAGTGGTAACTGTGGTAGCTGAGTTCAATCAGGCTCTCAGTCTCTGTAAATGGTGAATTAAAATACAGTTTAGTTTTGTGTATGTGAGTTCATAGTGTTAATTTTATATATCTAGGAAGGAGAACTTAATTTTGATTTTGTATTTTCTCCTTTTTCCCTTGTAACTCTATAGAAGAAGGTTTGGAAATGGGCTGTCTGTAAGGAAGAGCCTTGTCCTCTTGCACTGAGGACTCTGGGCCCACTTCGCCATAGCTGTGGGCACTGGGCTAATGAGCTACATTACTAACGAACTACATACCATTATCTCAAATTCATCTTGTTCCTTTTACAAAGAAATGTTAACATATAGTGCATCCAGTTAGTATGATCTGTTCAAGCTTCTGCCTTCTGGGCCCTGTAGGAATTTGTCTTTTGGAGCACCAGCTAAAGTTGGGATGGGAGAAGGTGTTTTGCTCTCCCAGTTGCCCCCCAATTCACTCCACCTCTTCAGCTGCATTCCTAGAGCTCCCTTCATGCACAACGAGCTGTTAACCTTCATGTTCTCATTAAACACTGGTTTCTTCAGGGTTGTGGTTTGAATAATGACTCCCCATCCCTGCAAGGGAACTGGAGGTGTTTGTTCTCCCAGTTAGCAGGAGAACATCGCCCACTTCAGTGCTGCCTCAGTTGCCAAGAGTGATGGGGTTCCTGTAGCTTAGTGGTTTCTGGCATTATCTTTTCTCTAGAGGTGGATTTGTGGCAGTCACTAGCTCCACATGCAATACCATCACCCACAGCTGGTAAAGGGCTAGGAGATGCTGTGGGAGTGACAGCAGCACTGAAATTCCTCTCTGCCCCCTGTGAATAGATTCCACACTGAGAGTGCAGAAGGTGGCATTGACCCATCTGGTTCTCGCTGTCCTCTGCAGGCTTCTGCCCAGAGACTCAGCAGGGAGAAACTCCAGCAGCAGCAACAGTACAGGTGGATGGAACAGACTTAGCCTCTCCAATGTCTCCTCGGACTAGCAAGAGCCGCATGTCTATGAAGCTGCGCCGCTCCTCTGGCTCGGCCAACAAGTCCTGAGCAGCCAGATGCCTGCAGCTTCCTGTGACCAGACCCCTCCCTAGCCGCTCACCGCTCACCCCAGGATCATGTCTCACGTCTGTGCCCAGCCCTGCGTCCCCTTTGCTGTATGTATATTTTAAACTGTGACACTGGAATTTTACTTTAGTATTTTAGCTCTTGGGGTTGTTGTTTTGTGGGGTTTTTTTCTCAGACTCCAGGCTGCCTTTTTTTTCTTTTTCCTTTTTGTTTTGTTTTGTTTTTTCTGTGCAGTTTGTCCTCTGCACCTTTTACCTTCCTGAATGATTACAGCATCTTAACAGTAGCCATTTTTAACTCTTGAGTCACATACAGAATTGGAAACTGCAGTTTGATTACACTGTATTTATTGTGCCCCATTGCAATTTTCTCTGTAACAATGGAAGAAATATTTACAATTTGAAAATGAATGTACACTTTTAAATTGAAGTTGCGTTTGTAAAGTCTTTGTCGGATATCACACTGTTAATGCACACAATGTGTACAGATTATTTATGTTAAAAATAAAGTAGGTTGACAGCCTTTCAAGCAGTGTAGAGTCCAAACAAAATAACTTGCTTGTAGCACCAACTCTTCCTTCACAAACAACATATAATTTTGTAACTGTGCAGGTGATGCCATAATCTATGCCAGAAAAAAAATCAGTCTGAAATTCTACTTACACATGGCTTCCGAATATTTTTATAACGTTTGCTTTTCCAAGTGGTATCAATACTAAATGCCATCAGGTCTTATGGTTTTTAGCCTTTTATCTCCGGGCTTCTGGGTCTAGATGTATATTCCTGTTTCTTACACTTAAATAAATAAATAAATAAATAAAAGGCACTTTCCTGATAGAAATTCATTGCTCTGATGATGTGTACTAGGGAAGAAAAGGGAACATACTCCAGGAGCCTGGCCTGAAATGCTGACAATTCCAACCCTCTGAGTGCAGATTAGTACACACGTTCCACCCACCTAGAGATGTTTTCCTAAAAAAGATGAAATGCTCACATTTTGAGTCTGGCAAACAACAAAATGCTGTTAACAAAATGTAGCATGACATCGGTCCTAACTGCATGTATAAATATATCGTATGGGCAACAATAAAAAGATAAATGATGTATTGTCATTCATGTAGTATCTACAAATTTGTAATGGTTGAAGAGAAGACATACTATTTAATAACACAATAAAATTATTCTTACCACCTTTTGTATATCAGTGATTCACCTCAGTGATTAGATTCTTACTCCTGATTTCTAGAAGAATAGCATATTACACACGGAGCAGCTAAGGGTGATACACAGCTTAGTTAGTGATACACAGCTGACTTAGTTTTCAGTTGTATTAAAAAGTACCCACAGGTTTTTAGGCACTCTTT